GGGACCACGGACAATCTTTAGAGTATAAATTATTTACCAAAACTATAAAGTCAAGATTTATAATTGGGGCTTAACTGGATGTCTTTCTTCCTTGACTTTCAAAAAGATATTACCTGCACAAAATTAAATGAAAATAATCCTGTTTTGACCATGGGCCCATAAAAGTGAGGCGTTTCATAGCTTTTAAATGATACTCTTCTAATTTTTTATTAATTCTTGGCACAGTTACACAGATATTTTAGGAGTAGCTCAAATAAGCAGCATATTTAAATTTTATTTTCAGCATGTATCAAATTTTATAGGCCTTTTAAGAAAAAACAACAACAACAACAACAAAATAGTGGTTTCCTGCTGTTTTTAATTCCAAACAGCCAATTGGGTAAGACAGGCTTGACTGTAACACTGAAATGTTTTCTTTATTTCTCAGTCCCAACTATCCAGAAGGGTTTGACAGGCCAGGGGTTAATGATACAGGCAAAATATTTTACAAGCAGATGAAGAAGTGAAAGAAAAAAATCAGGAATAAAAGACAGGGCTAAGCTGCCAAATGTTCACCCATGAAAATAAACAACTACGAATAACTGAATATCCTGGCAGCCAAAGTAGCAGATGCCAGTAGCAGAACAGCTACCTCCAGCTCACTTGAGCCAGACGGAAGAGCGTGGGCCCTTGGGAGTTGCTCTCTGGAGAGAGACTTGTGCCAGCGTTGTGGGACTAAGAGTGGGTTGGCTTTGTTTATTAATTTTTACCTGGAAAAAGCCACTTTTGAAACTGGGCCTCAGATATTTCTAGCCCCAGGCAGTTGGTTGGTCACGCTACACCTCCCTGACACGCTGTGTAGCAGTTAAGAGGGAAACAATAGTTTAAGATGACAGTCACTCCGGCACCTTAGAACAAATTGTAACACACACCACCACTTGACCGTGAAGACGAATGTAATTTTCTCATAAGTGGGATAAAGAAAGAAAGCAATTACCAACCTCCTTAAGGAAACATTGGATGCATATGAACTTTCCTATCGTGGTTCTCAAACTGCTATTTAATTCCAAAGAATGTACACGGCTTAGCAACAGGGGCACCAAGAGAAGTGGTAGCACCCCGTGCTGGTGATCTTCCATCAGGCCACCTAACGTTGACAATGTGCCAGATGAGGAAGGCCTACAAAACGTTAAATGGGTTAAAGCAACATTTCCTAATCCTTGCATCATAGAGGTATTCCAGGACCTGTTCCTCAAAGCATGGGTCACAGACCCAGCAGGAGCCTTTGCTTCTGCCTAGCTCATTCTCAAAATCCAATTTCAGACCTTAGGCTAGACTTTCTGAATCATCATCTCAGAACTACCAGTATTTTTCCAGGACTTGAGTCGACTGGCATGAGTATTAAAGCTTGAGAAACACTGTTCTCAGGCAAGACATCTTACAATATCTGATCATAGAATCAACTGGTTAACTTGCTACAATCATAGCTTTCCTGGCCTTTTCTTCAGAATCAGATTCAGAAGACCTGAAGTGAAAAGTAAAACTCTACATACAATAGAGGGTCAAATGCAATGACTCTAGGAGTTATACAAACAAATAAAATAATTCTGCTTATGTTGATTCTCTTTAAAATGGTGCGAGCATCATACAGGGAGCTTCCTGGTAGTTTTGTAGAGATGAGGGAATGTGATCATGTGAAGACGTTGGAGTCACCACAACCCTCAGCTGCATGGCACAGTTGCCATGGAGGTTTTACCCACTGTAATTTCGTAACTGTTATATTCTTAATGGATCATTGGTTAAATGCAGGAAGCATAAGGAGCTCTGATGTTGAATTAGAACAATTTAATGAGTAATATAAAAATGATACTAATTTTGCAAAGTCCTCTCAAGATGACTGTCATTGGATTCATAAACTACATTCGTCTATCAAAATCCTTATTTAACACATTAAGATGTTTCTAGTACTTCAAAAAATAATCTTAAGAAGAAGAGACATAGCAATAATTATATCCAATTTGGCTTTTCATTTATTGGGACTAAAGATTATTCTCTTGTGCAATGTGTATTTGCTGGAAAGTGTTTACAAATAACAGCCAGAAACCTTCTCTCTCATGCTAACAAAACATAAAAATTGTTTTTTGCAAGAGTGCATCTTCTCATGCAAATTAAAAAATCCAACAAAGGTCCTGAAGGAAGTCCCCCTCCTCATTTTTGATGTCATTACACTAAATTTCAATTTACATTTTAATGTACACAGGTCCCCAAGTCAAATGCACTATTTAATGACAAATCATGTCTGAGCTTGCATAATTTGGAATAAATTTAAAAATCTACTTGCTACATGAGGAGAAATTTAAAAAAACATATTCTATACATTAGGGATTAGTGAATGGTGTAATACAGGCTTTAATGATATTCTGATATATTTTTACTTAAATCACATCCTTATCACAAAGATGAGTATATCATATATGAAAATTACAATGATTTTTTTTAAATTTCTGGAGAGATATGCAATATTGCTACCTTGAAAACATTTCATGACTCTAAAAAGTAGTATATGATAGAATACCCAAAAAAAGGGTTCTCCATTATGAATATTCCTTGATTCTATCATGCCCAGAGGAGCTGGACACTTAGGGCTGTCCTAGAATGAGTTTTTACAAAGACTTCTTATAGCCAGAGCCTGCAGAATAATTACTAAGGCACTAAAATTTTCATTCAGTTCCATCAGCTGCATTAAGGGGTAGCACACCTGCAAGTCAAAGATGCTGGAGCTACAGAGCTTTGAGTGTGTCATAAAGAGGCAGCTGGTAACAGGTAAATATGCTACTCTGCACCAGGATAAGTTTTAAACATGGCTGTAAAACACCTAACTCTCAGAAAAACTCTATGAAGTAGGTGCCTATTCACTGATGAAGACTCGACACCCAGCACGATGAAACAAATTGTTCACAAATCTAAGTAGTAGTAGAGATAAAACTGGAAAGCCAACAGGACTTCACCGCCTAGGTTCTATACCACCAAGGCAACAGATGTGCGAAACTGGAGTGAGCGAGAGTTCGTGCAAATGTCAAAAGAGGTGGCAGTGAGAGGAGAACAAGGAAGCATTTGGAGAGATGAAATACTGTGTGTGCTTAAAGAGGTGAGACATTCAGAGGTCGGTTTGAGTCAATCTTTCCTAATGTTATGGCTGACTCTCGGGAGCATCATGGAGCTGCTGTATTTTTGAAGTGACAGATCCACTGGACAAGTTCATAGCTAAACAGGTTGTTAGGAGGCGGGGCCTGGTTGGAAGTGGTGGGTCACAGGGGTGTGACTTTGGAGGGTGTATCTCTCGCACTGGCTCTTGCTTTCTCTCAGCTTACTGAGTGCCACACATTGAGTGGTTTTTTTCCTGCTACGCCGTTTCTACCTTGGAGCCAGCGATCCACAAAAACACATGACCCTCTGAAAATATGAGCCAGCATAATCCCTTCCTCTTTAAATTACTGGGGTCAGATATTTTGTGCCAGTGACACGAGAGTGACGAAAACACCATGTAAGCACGAATGGAGTTTACCCTAGGCAAATTCCTAGAGAAATCTAGTAAGCAAGTAGCAATCAGGAATTAAGCTAGCAAGTGTGGTAAAAGAGCAGAGGCAGACAGATCAGCGAGATGTTATTTGTGATAGCTCGAAGAATAGGTCATGTGGGCCTTAGAGAAGCAGATAAAGAGAAGGAAGAGGGAAGCCTGACTGAGAAGGGTTGAAATCTCACATGCTGCTTCAGCTGGAAAATCAAACGACCTGGCTGGCGTGACCAGGTCTTGCAAGGAAAACACACCTGCACTTGTTACGGGAAGAGTAAACGCAAACATAGTCCTTCTCTTAGCTGATCTCCTACTTTGAAGTCATAAAATATTGGTAGGATAAAATGAATGAACTAAATAACTATAGGAGAAATATGTCCCCTTACTTTACATCGAGAGCACAGCTTCTGAGGTGAGCTCTTCTCCCTGGCCTGTGAGAGCCCAGCCAGCATTCAGGAGAGGCCTCCCAAATCACCAGAATAGTGAAGGTGAAATGTGTGTTTCAAGAGGAAGACTTCATTTCCCTGGAAACATCAATGTCCCTGCAAAGAGCAATTCACTCCTATTTTTAATCCCTAAGCCATCAACATCTGCTACGAAGAATTCTTTGTCCTCAAGTAAATCCCTTTTGTCCTATATTTTTGATGACATACTCCAAAGGCAGTGTTTGAATAAAACAACAATTACCATCTCTGCCCTCCACTGCCCATTTGTTTTTGGAGGGGCTTTTATATTCCCAGCCACACAAAATATGTTCACGAGGATCCATAGAGGGGCAATGGGAATGGATGGGATAAAGGCATTTTAAAGGCGGAGAAGTGGTGCATTTATGAACCTTTTTTAGATTATAAAAATACGGATGCTGAAATATGATAAAGAAATCTTGTGTACTACTGAAAAGCAATTTCCTTCCTTTCTTCTTTATTATTTTTCAAGTGTGTTTTTTTGGGGGGCCCTACTTGGGTCAAACAAATGCAGTTTTAAAGCCCATTTCCATGTTTTAAGATTCATAGAAAAGACATTTAACAGTGGGCTATAAAGACCTCTTAATGCCTTTAATGTCTTATTTTGCAGATTTGTTGGAAAGAACACAGTAAACAGTCATTGCTCAACTTTTCCCATCAATGCCCCCTGAACTCTGTCACTGATGGGGAGCACAGAATCCATTTGTATGATTTTCTTTCCCTCAGACACAGTTTTTCCTGGCATTGTTGTGACACCTGCATTCTGACAATCTAGGCAGAATCTCTGAGCCAAAGTGATTTGCTGATCGTCCTCCAAAAGAAATCATCAAACATTTAAAATATAATTTCACCAGAGCAAATTTCAGAGAGGTAGAAATGATTCTGATGATTTTCTCCGGAAGCACCTTGCATCTCTAAAGCTTTCTTCAGCTCCATCTCCTCCCCACGTTCCTCCAGGACAAAGTCACCCAGAACGTACTTACAGGCTATGCGCACTGAAGCCTTCCGACTCTTGGAGGTGCCCAGGTGGCTCCATGCCACGCACTGGCACCAGTAGTCCTCCGGCCCGTGGAAGTCCTCCACCTGCTGCCTGGTGACATTGATGAACACCTCCCGGACCTTCAAGCCTGATGGGAAGATGCAGAAAATCGCTGAGGCCACTGTGTTGCACAGACGGAAAGTGGAGGTTACCAAACCTTTTCTTTTTAATTAACAATTCTGCTTTTAATCAAGGCAAAGCTTTAATTACTTTGACAATAATATAGCACTGCTAATTAAACTCCACCAGCTGAGTAGGCTGGAGAGCATGAGTGTAAGACATCATTCACCAAGGCGGCTCCCATGCAGCCTAACAGTTTTCATAGTACCTTGACTTGGTGTTATGCCTTTGTCCTTCTCCGTATAAACTATGTTAGCAGGAATTCAGTACTAAACTTAACTGTTGGAATGGGAGGAGCTAAATGGGCCTCAACATACCCTCTGCAGACAGTTGCAGGTTGTTTTAAATGTCCTGACCCTAGGATTTGGCAGCCAGGGAGCCTCGTTGTAACACTGTTGCTTGAAAGAAAAAAGAAAAAAAAAAGATGGAGAGGTAAAAAAAGCTGAGAATCCAAGCAAGGGCTGAAACATCAACCTCAAAGGCTCAAGACAACACAGCCAATGGGATCCAAAAATCAAAACGTGAGCCCTGATGGGAAACACAGAACCTGCCCAAATTAAGTCTCACAGGTCCTGAGTGGAAAATGCAAGAAAAAGCCACAGCCATGGGATAAGGAGTTGAAGCAAGGAAGTATTATAGAAAGAGGGCACGAGGCTAGAACTATCAAGACGTGTACCTGCAATGACTCTGCATTTTCCTAATAGAAAATGTGCTTGATTCTTCTAACTGGGGAGTCTCAGCATCTTCCACACTTCTGAACAAGAACTGCCAGCATTTCTCTGTTTGGAAAAATGGTCAGTTTTCATGGAGTGCCCTGAATAAAAGAGGATACTCCCCCCTAACCATGTCAATTAATTCACCACAAATAGGGCAGCGGCCACTAAAACCTACACGCTGCCTCTGTCCAGCACACACTGGCCACCCTGTGCCTTGCTCTCGGATGGTCAGGGCAGGAGGAGCTCAGCATTGTGACAAGCCCTGACCCTTTTCACAGAGTTTCACAGCATATGGAGCCAGTGCACATTACTGTATCTGTGAGATACGGATGAAAAAACTATGACAGAGAGGCCGAGTCACTTGTCCGCAGTCATCGTTTATGAACTGATTGTCCTTCTGCCTTATACTGACAGCAGCAGGATTCAGATGCTTCTCCACGATCCAATGCTGGTCTGTATTTTTGGTATCTAATCTGAATGATGGAGATAACATGTGGTTTATACCTAGCAGTCCCCAAAGCCTCATATGCTCATAGATGGGATTTTGGGAGGTGACTGGTCATGGGGCCTGATGCTCAGGAGTGGATTATTCCACCTATGTATGCGCAGCCAAGTGTGATGTGCAGAGGTGCAGCCTGGCTGGAGGTGGGTCACTGTGCCCTGGAAGAACACATCTCCCTCAGTCTTCCTTTGATTTTGCTGCTGCCTCTCTGCACTGCCATGAATTTTTTCTCCTCTGCCTTTCTGCCCTAACCTTGGAGCCAGAAAACTACGGACCAAATCCTCTACCAACTTTGAGCCAAAATAAACCTCTCCCATTTTAAATTGTAGGTGCCAGGTATTGTGTACCAGCAAGAAGAAACTAAGACATAACATAGGAATGGTTAAAGAAAAATTAAGTGCCTATTTTTTTTCTTTTAAATGTAAAAGGAATTCGGGGGACAGAAGCATTAGTATAATTGGAATGAGGCAAGGACTGGGAGTGCAGAGGATGAAACATGATTCCGTCTTGGGCGGTGGCAGATTGAAAGAATAAGAATAAAGGCATAGGATGAGCTGGATGGGAGAAACTTCCCTTCTTCTCAGTCAATAACATGTCATCTACTGTGTGTGATAAGAAATGGTATGGCCGTATAAATCCCCATTCACAGTCTGAGGTAAAGTTTCTAAATGTGTCAGAGACACCCTAAAAAGCAGAGGACCTTATCTCTCTGCCCCTGGATAGTTTATGTTTCCCTTCTTTGCTCCAATACTGCATTTTCCTTGCCAGTCTCCTCAGGTAACTCGCCTATGAATAGGAGGAAAGAACCTTAAGAGGCTATATATACTGTTGTGATTGCTGTTGATGCTTTTTTCCCCCTCTCTGTGCACTCAAATAAAAGGCTGTGGCATATAGCTTGATGAGAGAGCCCTGGCTCAGCATGTATAAGTCCCTGGGTTGGATGGCCAGCACTGAAAAACACCAACACACAAGTAATCAAGGGGCAAGATAAAGGCAAGGAAAAGGAAAGTCAGTAGAGAGAAAGGATTTTATCACAGAAAAAATAAAGCATGATTAAAAAAAAGTTTGTTACGCTAGAAAGCAGAAAGTAAAGTTGAAGAAGTGGCAATAAGTCTGTGTAGAATGAGTGCTTGCTTTATATTTTATGCTTTGGTTCGAAGCAAAGGGCAGAGACTGTACTTTGCAGAGGAGGAAAGCACACCAAAGCAACATGTTTGGGTGGGAGGTGGAGTGACACTATCACTAAAAGCATGCTACATCTGCTTTGGGGAAGGGTAACCATGGAGATAAAATACATTCACACTATGCAAAACAGGGTCTTCCCAAAGAACCACACGATAGCTTGAAAAGATGGCTGAGCGAATGGGAAACACCTTCATTTTTTACTGTCCCCATTAAGTGTATCTAAATTATCATTTTCTTCTAGGCTGAGACAAGCATCATTTCAAAATGGCTCGGAGTTTTTTCACATTGAAACTAGAAATGCAGGGTCACCACATCCACATATGTAGACATGTTATGACTGAATCATGATACATGGTGTTTTAAGGGTTCCCAAGAGTTATTTTAATACATTGTGGTCAAACATGCAGACACGGCAACGCCAGTCGTGAAAGGAGAAACATACTCATCGATATCTAGAAACAAGAGTCACTGTAAGCTCCTTGGGAAGCATCAGGATAGTCACGAGGTAGAGGAACAGGGGAAATGTGGGCAAGAGCCTTTCTACTGTGGTTCACATGGGCAAGGTGGGCAGGCTTAGGAATGGTTATCTTGAATAATATTAGTAGGTGCTTACTGCCATTAATGACCATCACTGAGGGTCTGTCTGTTCACTGGTCCTGTGGTTAGGGTAGGGGGGCCAGAGACCTAGAGTATAAATGCTTTACAAAGGAGGCATATACCTTCTGGGTTGGTTGGTATGAAAACGAAAGGCAAGATCACAAAGAACTTGCTTACAGACTCTTAGAATTAGCAATCTGACAAGCCCATTGCCATAGGCTCAACAACATGGCCCCAAATAGACGTGATTTCTGCACATGGACAGAGAGCCTCTACACTGTGCTTTGGAAAGCCAAGCAGGGAGACTTCTGGGAAAATGGTGAGTGGTAAGCAACAACAAATCAGCCTCTCCAAGATTTGGAGTCCAGACTTTGGGGAAGAAAAGGCAGAAGATGGATCGCTGGAACCCAGGAAGGATCTAATGGGAAAATTGGAGGTTACAGAGAAAATGAACAGACAGACCTTAAGGCAGAAAATGGCAGGGGCAATCTGTACTTTCTTCTGGCTCCTGCTTTGGGGCCCTTAAGAAAGGAAAATTGAATACATAGATAAACAGTGAAAGAAGGTGACTCCATAGGCCTTCAGAGAAACACACCAGTGCAAGGAAATAGTGGATGCTGGGTGCTAAACTGGTGTGTGACCCCAGTCCAAGCACGCACCTGCTATATCCCCCGGAGAGAGTGCTTGGTCAGATGCTATTCTAGGGAGGTTCCAAATGAACCTCAGACTAAGAGAGGCTGAGGTATGGCTTCACCTCAGGGTGCCCAGTGTTAAACTCCCACAGTGACCGGGTGAAGAACAGCCATGAGAGATGTCCATGGTCAGAGAGCCATGGTCAGGCTGGCAAAAGGACACACACAGTGCATTATAAGCTAAAGGACTGGGCCCAACCCCACAATCAGAGGCCAGGTTCAGCCTGAATTTCCTTAAATTTGAAAGTCCCAGAAGTAGCACCTTGCCCTAATCTTATTGCTGACTCATTGGTGATTACTCAGCATGGATCTGGGCGCTGACTGCCTCCTTTGTCTACTAGGAAGAGCAGAATCATGCCTGAATTAGATAGACACTGTAGACCCCAGAAGATAACCACAGCCTTCAAATAACCAAGAAATATGGGGTTTTTTTTAGCTTTACTTTTGGATTTTCCTTTGGTTGTTGTTCATTTGATTATTTTTTCTTTTTTCTTTTTTTTTTTTGAGACAGGGTCTCACTATGTAGTTCAGACTGACCTGGAACTCACTATGCAGTCCAGGTTGATCTCGAATTCCCAGCAATCCTCCTGCCTCAGCTTCCTGAGTGCTGGGATTACAGGCGTGCACCACAATGCCCGGCTCCTTTGGTTATTTCTTTCTTGTTTTGTGTGTGTGTGTGTGTGTGTGTGTGTGTGTGTACATTGTTTTTAGGGCTTTTTGTTTTGTTTTGTTTGCTTCTTTTTTGTTTGTTTGTTTTGTTTTCTTCTTTTTGGCCCTCCTGTCTTCTTCAGTTTCTGGGGGCTTGAGTAATCTTCTTTTCTTCTTCAGACTTGCTTCTAATCCCTTTTTCTTCTTTTATTTCTCCATTATTCCTCCTCTCCCTTTTACATTTTATCCCTTCACTACTTAGTTTTACTCTCTCTATAATCTTTTTCACCCACTTTTTCTTTAACGTGTTTCTTTCCAGTTTTGGTCCTACCTTTACCCAATTCTACAGACATTCTTCGGCTCCCGGTGTTACTATGTCACACTTCTCCCTCAGCTTTCTCATATCATAGTGATTAAGGTTTCAAAGTTTCCTTTCGCATCCTCCCATTCCCAAGCCCTGAATCTTTAATAGCATAACCACAGAGCTGTTAATTTTTGAGAGTTAGCTCCACAAAATTACTGCTGAATTCTTTTCTGTCATTAACAGAGATACTGCAGTTAAATTTACTATATATTAGCTGTAAATCAATACCAAGGTTGCCTTAATGTTTGTATCATAATTGACAGT